GACAAGGCCCATTATGAAAGAGAAATGAAAACCTATATCCCACCTAAAGGGGAGACAAAAAAGAAGTTCAAGGATCCCAATGCACCCAAGAGGCCTCCTCTTGTTTTGTCCGGAGTATCGCCCCCAAATCAAAGGTGAGCACCCCGGTCTACCCATTGGTGATGTTGCGAGAAGAAACTAGGAGAGATGTGGAATAATACCTTATGAGAAGAAGGCTGCTAAGCTGAAGGACGAAAAGGATATCGCTGCCTACCAGGCTGAAGGAAAGCCCGATGCAGCAAAAAACGGAGTCATCAAGGCTGAGAAAAGCAAGAACAAGAAGGAAGATGAGGAAGAAGAAGAAGAGGAGGAGGATGAAGAGGATCAAGATGAAGGATAAGATGATAATGATAATGAATATGTTGATTCTAGCGCAGTTTTTTTTTTTTTTTTTTTTTTAAAGCATTTAACCCCCCGTTAACCCCCACCTTTTTTAAAAAAAAAAAAAAAAGGAAATATAAAGCTGTGTAAGATTTGTTTTTAAACTGTACAGTGTGTTTATTTGTATAGTTAACACACTACCAAGGTGTGTTTAGCTAGCCCTGTCCTGGTGGTATTTTCAATAGCCACTAACCTTGCCTGGTACAGTATGGGGGTTGTAAATTGGCATGGGAATTTAAAGCAGGTTCTTGTTGGTGTACAGCACAAATTAGTTATAAATGGGGATGGTAGTTTTTGTTATGTTTTTTTTTTTTTTCATCTTTAGTTGTCTGATGCAGCTTATACGAAATAATTGTTCTTTTAACTGAATACCACTCTGTAATTGTAAACAAAAAGAAGTTACAGCTGTTTTGTTGACATTCTGAATGCTTCTAAGTAAATACAATTTTTAAAATTAGTATTGTTGTCCTTTTCCTAGGTCTAACATGGTTATTCTTGAGGGGAAGCTAGTCTTTTGCTTTTGCCCATTTTGGGTCACATGAATTATTTATACTGTTTATCTTGTCATATAGTCAGCTGATTATTTTTTTAAAAAAGCTTTCATACACCCACCCTGCCTATTCATGATGGGGTAAATAGAAGTGGACTTGAAACCATTTCATCCACAACAGAAAGGCACATTTTAATTGTTGTTGTTGTCAGGTGTCATCGAGTCGGAACCAACTCATAGTGACCCCATGCACAGCAGAATGAAACGATGTCCGATCCTGGGCCAACCTC